AAGTTTCTTATTTGTATTTATTGTCTTTACAATTCGATATCAAGGAAAGAATAATTTTGCTGAAATATCTAAAAATTTAAATATAGATCTGGAAATACTTTTATTGGACTATCAAAGTAATTATGTAAAAAACAGCATAATAAACACAAGTTTATTATTTTTATTAATAAGCACAAGTTTATTACATTTATTGTTTATTATAATAAACACAGTTGTAAAATTTAATATTCTAGAAATCAACTTATATTAGCGTCTTACATCATTATTTTGTCAATTCAACAAAATTATTTTCAGTTCTGTACCTAATAACATTTTTAAATACTTCAGTAAAAAAATTGTTTTTTCTTAATGTCAGTAACTATGTTTAAAATAAGACAAGTATAAAATTAGTATTGCGTTCGAGATGCAATCGATCATCACTAGCTTCAATACGAGTGTGTTCACTTCATTTCTATGATTGCGTATCGACGGTATGACACATTTAAAAAATAAGAATTGGAAGAAAGCGTGTTACGCAGCATGACTATGAAGCTAATGATTCCTATGGTTATATGAGTCACTAATTATCAAGGAGATTGATGGACTGTACCGACTATTAAAGCGGTGGCGGCGAATGGCACAGACGAATCCGTAGTACTTTCTGTGCTGACGTAGATATTAGATAGAATCGAATGAAATATCGATCATTGAAGGTCGTTTATTTCAGTTCAGATTTTCAATTTTATATCGGAATCTTTTAATAATAATATGCATGCGGCATTTTTCACGTGATTGTTTGTTATTTCATCGCAAACGATGAAATAAAATCGGTTATATACAAATTTATTTAATTAAATACGTATTTAAGTGCATCATAAAAACTCACTTTCGACGACATCCAGCTAGTTGGATCTTTCTCGTGTCTTATATAGCTTCGCGCGACACGTAAACATGACCTTGTCTTTTATTGCGTTGTGCTCGCGAAAGGAAAAGGGTTAAGACTTTAGTTGAACAGAAATCTCAAGTAGCGTCTGCAAAATACTAAAAAACGCTTTATATACGCTTTTTGTAGCGTTTCTTAGACGCTGTGTATTATTTGAGATTATTGCGGCTATGCAAGACTTCCACCTATATCTCACGATCTTGCGCGATGAAAAATACGATCGCTAACTAAAATAAACATAATCTCGCGCAGATAAGTAATATCGGCGCGGTGCTCAATGAGCAATGAAAGTTCAATCACAGTTAATTACAGATGGTCTCGAGAGCGAAACGTTCCTTTTTGCGTTCATAGACCGTCTATTGGGAAGTGACGGCAATGACGGATTCGCGTTACGACCTCGTCTCTAATTACTGTACACGATATTAGCTATAGCAACATGAATCATTGCTATCAATAAAATAGAACGGGCGCGCCTTTGAACAAGCTGCTGAAAAATTGAAAGAATGTTAATAACTTCTTGCTGTTACTTAATCACGTGCGCAGCTTATAAAGATGAAGAACTAGTTCTTAATCGAAAGTGTTTGTCTTAACATACGCGCGGAATCGTCAACGTCAAAGTTTGAACGTTAGATTAATTAGCAATGATAGGGTAGGACTTCATGTAACCTGAATGCTATTTTCGCATATCAATAGGAATTAAGTAATTTAATTACTCATGAATATATATCTCAAATTAAATAAAAAATTATAGTTTATGTAAAAAGTATCTAATGAGAAAAACGTATTAATTTATAAAAAAAAAAATAATTTTAACATATCCAAAATTTGAAAAGACTTATCTACGAAATTGAATTATTGATTTATATTCATAAATTTAAAACGGAATTATTTTTTTATTATACTAATTAGATGTATCTCAATTTTATAGTAATTTAATTATTATTAATTCAACGCACGAGAACAACACACTGGCATATTAAACCAATTCTATTATTTATAATTATTTTTTATGAAAATAAACATATAAATATTTTTTTAATTGAATACTTTTTTAATTGAAACATTAGATATTGAAGAATATAACAACATACTGAGCAAATATATGAATCTTTATTAATAAAAGAAATGTTATAAGCAATGAAAAAAGTATTGAAAACGCCTTAGAAAAATAAATCCGGATATGCCACACAAAAATTAAAAAATATTTTATTTCTTCTAATGCTTTTAGCAAGATATGATGAAAATATTTTATTCGATGTTATTCTTTAGAATTTGAACGGATAGATTTACAAATATAGAGACTTACGTATAAAACAGCCACGAAAAACCTACTATTGTTCCAATTTTACAGCATGTTTAGCTATAAGTAGGGACGATGCAGAAATACATGAGAGAGAAAAAAATCAATTTGATCTATTTGCAGAAATACCAACATTTTGCGGGTATGTGGCGTCATCTGAACGGAACATATCAATACTTGAATAAAACTTAACAAAGATTCTCAGTTGGTAAAGTTTTCTCTGTCTAACAATAATAATTACGAATAAATAATAAAGGAATAATAATTAAGGAATAATAATTAAATTTCACTTAGTTAATATTTAAATAGCCTATATCGAATAATATAGTGTACAATATTTTCAGTATAATTATGACATTATTAATCAAAATAACAACACATGTGTGATGAAAATTTGCATTATTGAATTAGAAACGAAATACTTTCGCTCTAAAAATAGATATATGGCTGTATTCAAAAGCAGTTTTCCATTTTTATTGTAAAATTCTTTAATGATTCCTTATTTAGTTATTTATTTATTGGATCTAAATTATAGAATAAGAGAATACAATTTCGAACATGGTACAATTCTGAAATAAGATTTGAATTAAATTTTCGAAGTTTAAGATAGATGTTTTCCTATTTAACATCCTTCAGTATTTTCCACACAATAAGAGAGTTACCAAACTTAAATCTGAAAAATTGGATTCAAATTAATTTTATTCAGAATTATACCATATTTGAAATTGTTACCACTCTACCCGTAAATCCTATAAATCAATTATATTAAAGAACTATAACAGTTGCAAAGCTGCTCCTGTTGAATGCAGCTATTGAGGCGTTTCGTTTTGCGTGTCTCTTGATATAAAAGTTCGCGCATAGCTTTTTACACTGCTCAGAAGCAAAAGGATACAATACTAAACAATAAACGCAGAAATATTAGATTTTAGGTTTTTCATCGAATTCCATATTAACCACGTGAAAACCGAATCGAAAGGGAATAGTCGTGACAACCGCAAATATAAAAACATTACATTACAGCAATTTTCTTTTGTGCGTAGTGACGTCTATGCACGCTTCATATGGATAACGCGAGCAAAAACTTGCGTGCGGCATAGACTGCAATATTTTCGCACTTGTCACGTCGAGAGATCATAAAAGCTGAAATTGTCTGCGCTTCTGTGTGAATAACCGCAAGACAGAGCAACCGCAATATATTGCTCCTCAGTCAGCCAAGTTATTTCGTTATGACAGCTTCTAATACCTCCTGCGGACGCGATTTAAACGTGATTGTTCGCATTGGTAGATTTGCCAGGCGGGTGTAACAAATGCAGACAGAGTTTTATTTTCTGCAGCAGCTTTATGAAAACGCAGTCCAGTAAACAATAGCTTGTAAAAGCTTGAATTTCGAAAATCTCGATATGGTACATTTTTTACAAAATAATTAATGAATTTTTACAACAGCCTAATTTTTTTAATGAATATGGAGTTTAAAATAAATCGATAGAAATATTCCACTTTAGCATTAATCGCCATTACCCAATAAAATATTAACAAAATGATCATAACATCAATATTGTAATTTTATATTCAATAATATATAACTATTACGCATAATATGTGTCAAAAATACATTGTTGAATATATATATATAATATTAATTACCGTGAATTGATGTTTATTGGATATTAATTATTGATTATATAATGATTGCATGCGGTATTTAATGCATTATGATATATAATATTACACGACGAACACTTGTGAATAATTTTTGAATATCCATGATGTTTGTTTTTTAACAGCAATAATTGCTATTGAATCTAAATACTTATGTGTTACATACAATGTGTCTTGATATAAGCAAACAACAATGAATGGCATAAATTCTATTATTTCTCTTTAATTACATTCAATTTAATTCAATTATTACTCTTTGATTACAATTAATGATAATTAATGAAGAAATTCGTTAAATTAGCGGTATTTTGAATTCAAAATATATACAAGAGCAAATTCAGCATAATTTTGTGATAAATATACGTATATTACTTCGAGAAATTTAACTCAATCATCTTTGTAACAGATCAAAACAAATCTAAGTATCAGTATATTATCACAGATTAGTTGCTACCATAATATCTAACAGAGTACAAGCACAGGATAACATAATCACTAAATTTTTGATAGTGCTCGGATAATTTAATCAGTATGTACATATTTCTATGTATTAAAAAATATCTAATAACAAAGTTTTTAATATTACATGTAATTAAGTAATAATAGTTCAAAAATGTTTGTCACAATACAACATGCTATTCCTCTTTATATATATATTTCTCCAGAAAGTCTGTGTCAACATAATACAACAAATAAATATTTGTGAAGTGCAAAAGTTATAACAATAATATGATTTATATATAATTAAACATTTTAATGTGTTTTAATTATTTTGATAATTTTATTGACATACTGCTACTTTTCTCAATTTTTTATTATTATTAAAAGTATTTCTCAACTTTATGAAGCATTATACAAAACGCGTGTATAAAATAACAAAATGA